CTGACCTCTGACCTTGAGATCACCTTGACTTGAGAAGGTCACAGGACTCAGACTTATACACTATTTTAAGTAGCTGCACCTGTGGTATCAATTTCAGAATCCTACACAAGTTATCTGATTCACAAACTTGGGTGTTGATGCTGCCCGCCCGACCGGCAGCGTAGCCCCAAAATGATGAGGAAGATAAGGAACATTTCTTTGAATTAAAATTTTTCTAAAGTGTTATAATTTATAGGGAAAATGGTGAATTTAACATGGAAAAAGGTCTTTATTTGCATAATTTTCAGTTTAGAAATCTGAACTTTGAGGCACCAGACAAAGAGCGATTCAGAAGACCCCTATGAGCAGAACACCAAGGGAACAGTTCACCCTGCCCAGGATAGGGTCACTGGGGCCCTGCCTCCAAGACCACTGGAGGGATTATATCTCTTGGCTGGCCTGGGAACGCCTTGGTGTTCCCCTGGACAAGCTGGAGGAGATGGCAGTAAATGGTTCTTAACAGTGCTTTTCTACTCTTCTGAGCACTCAAAGTGCTTTACACAACTTGTGCATTCACCCATTCACACCCATTCGCACAAACACATTTCCTTAGTGCTTTCTAACTAACATTCACACAATTCAATTCAATTCAAATTTATTTATATAGCGCCAAATCACAACAAAAGTTACCTCAAGGTGCTTTATGTTGTACAGTATATCCTATAATAATAGATACAGATAATAGATATCTATGTTTTTAGATATAAATAGTGAAACCAGCATGTGTTCCTTGTGAAACTGCTTCACGTGCTGTGTTGTGCTGCTGAATTTGTGTGTGATGGAGTTCCAGTCGGTCTTTCCTGTAATATTAGTGAACTCAATCTCTTAACCCTCAGCTGAGGCTGTGCTTTCTTAAATCCCTGACATTAGCTGAAGTAGAACGTTCAGTCTGGGCTTTAAAAACAGGAAGACTCCTTTCGTTTTGTAATTCATCATCGTCTCAGCCACATGGCCGCTGAAAGGGCGCCTGCTGTGTTTTTGACTCAGCACCGTGCAATACTATGTCTGATCATTCTTCTAAATGCACCTCCCCCACTGTGGTGAAACACTGCAGGACTGCAGTTAAAGCTTTTTGCAAGCCATACGTGCAAGCCTTTGAGTTGTGCCTCTGATCGTCTCGTGGTTAAAAACGGGTTGTTGATTTCTCCACCTTTTTTAGGTAGCTGTTTGCAAACTGTAGTGTGTGTCTGTATGTGTATGTCTTGTTTGTGTGGTTAAGTGGTATCTTCACAATTAGACCTGTTGGTTACCAGTTAATTGTTACATTTAAAGCTGGCCTGGGTATCAGCTCTACCTGTCAACACTACCTTTTGATCCTTAGTGGTCAAAAAGAACATTCAGACTAAATTGGGTTGAAAGATATTTTAGATGATGTACCATTGCTTGATAATCATGTTGGGTGTTCTCACTTGAAAGCCTTGTTGGAAACTCTCTAGTAACTTAAACCTCGACGTGTCTAACCCCATTCAACACTTTAGCCTTTTTGTTGATCCGCTTAGTAGGCTTCAAAATACCAAAACATTTCAACAGACTAATGAGCACTTGCAAATTGGAGGATTGAAAAGAAGTCTTAATTTATAGGAATTGATAGATATTGATACCAAACCACTGCAGCGCAACTGCTACCATTGCTTGAAATCATGTTGGGTGTTCTCAGTCGTTTTTGCATTGTCTGACTTGTAAGTACTCTGTCCTTTTTTCCAATACAGAACTCTACGTGTACAGTCATAGTAATGACCTAATTTATCGCTAGATTACTTAAACATGTAGGAGACGATAAGTGTATGCAGTTAAGGTCTCAAAACGCAGCAGACTGTTTCTCATACATAGAATACGGTGATCGCACTATAAATGATGGTTTTATTGCTATCTGAATGAATAAAAAGTCTATTAGATAGATATGATACAAACCACTGCAGTGCAGTACCTGTAATACCTACAGCATGTTCTAATCGCTCTAATAGGATATTATGGTCAACAGTATCGAACGCTGCACTGAGGTCTAGCAGGACAAGCACAGAGATGAGTCCACTGTCAGAGGCCATAAGAAGATCATTTGTAACCTTCACTAAAGCTGTTTCTGTGCTGTGATGAGCTCTGAAACCTGACTGAAACTCTTCAAATAAGCCATTCCTCTGCAGATGATCTGTTAGCTGTTTGACAACTACTCTTTCAAGGATGTTTGATATGAAAGGAAGGTTGGAGATTGGCCTATAATTAGCTAAGACTGCTGGGTCTAGAGATGGCTTTTTGAGTAAAGGTTTAACTACAGCCAGCTTGAAGGCCTGTGGTACATAGCCGATCATTAGAGATAGGTTGATCATATTTAAGATCGAAGAATTAATTAATGGCAGGACTTCTTTGAGCAGTTTTGTAGGAATGAGGTCTAAAAGACACGTTGATGGTTTGGAGGAAGTAATTATTGAAGTTAACTCAGAAAGATCAATTAGAACTAGCTGGTAGTCGGGCCGTACGCGTGTCTTAGTAGGAAATATATATGCAGTCCAGAATGCGTGAACACACGAATTGTTACTCTAAGTAGTAAAGCATCGTCACTACGTATTAATGATTAGCCAACACTACTGCGGTGAATGTATATTTATGCTAAGTTTACAACGTGTAAATGATAAATATCTTTTTGTTGGAAGAACCTGAACCTCTTAGACCTTTGAAGAATTCACTCATTAGAACATTGGAGAAGGGTCACTAGACTCTCTACGTATGAGTGATCCGCACTTTTGCTTTGATTCTCGATGAGTGGTGATCCACTGATTAGTGAACATATTACATAAATATCAGCATAAATATCAAATGGGGTTCTCTGAAGCAGACCTACGTCAGACAACAGTCGCCCAGTTTTAAACGTAAAAATCTCCTGGAGTCCACAAAAGCCTTTAATCACAGATCTGATCCTCATATGAGCAGAGAGTGAAGTTTTGTCTTCATCTAAAATCTGTATCTACTTATTCAGCTTAATTCTCCAACATATATAAGTATATAATTTAAACCCCATGGCATTGTTTTGTTAGCTATCTTTGTTTCTATGTGAATATTTCATGACTATTTCTAAGTAACATGTGCAGCTGCTACAAACAATCACTGATTTGTTTTGCAATTTTATACTTTATGAGGAAAAACGCTGGAGTCTTATATTGCATTAATAAAATACAATATTTAATCAGCACAACAAAAAACAAAAATTGTCGTAGTGAAAATCACAGAAAACTTTGAGGCATTCACGACAAACTAAAAGGCTGTCTTGTTATATCAAGAGAAGGACCCACTCTATTGCGGAGCAGCATAACACCATTATCCTATAGGGAAACAGAGCTACTCACTAACCATCTGCGCATAGAGCGGTGATACGAGCGTCAATTCTGGAGTGCGCCCCCACTGCCCTCCAGCATGAGCCAAACTGTGACCGAGCTTTTGAAAAGCGGTTGAATTTGATAACTTAATCTCTTGGCTGCCATTGCGCGAATCGCCTTGTGTGTTCCCACTTGGAAGCCAGAGGCGTGGATGTCATGGCGAGATGGCAGTTAAATGGTTCTTATATACAGTCCGTCTTTTCTACTTCTTTGGCTGCGAGACAACAGCAAAACATATCACACAAAGAAGTGTAGCTTTTCCCAACCAGTTTTACACAACGCTCGTGCATTTCACCCATTTCTATCTAGACTTCGATTCAACACAAGCAGCATTGCATCGTTAGCCACTTATCACTGGTCTATTTAAGTGCTTGTATACAAAAGCACGTCAGCACACATAATTCAATTCCAAGTAAAAATTCTTCATGAGATTTTAATTTTCTCAACTGTTAGCAAAATTCTACTCGTATCCGCTTTGCAAAGATAAAAAGCATATGGTGCCCTATGCAAATCTACGAACTGAAAAGCCACAAAGCATCCTACTATAGTGTGAATGTCTTATCAACATTCGTGGTTGTGTGTCACACTTCTTCTAGTTATGTTTAAATAGCTGCCTCAGTTATTCTACAGTAGACAGTTTAAAAATGCCATTAATAAGTGTTATATAAGCTGATACAGATAATAGAACTATGTTTATTAGAAACAGTTAAGTTATAGGATAATAGAGTGTGGTTGCGGTTGCTTATCAATATGAACCACAGAAACACACAGAATCGACTTCCATTACCCAGAAGGATATAGCAACCTCTGCACAACTATGTTGACTATCTCCGTCCCAATTACGCTAAAGGAGGAGTGTACTTGTTGTTTCTGGTTACAGCACTATGATTAATATTGTCTGTACAAGATGAGAATGATGATTAACAGTCACACATTTGTGTTCTAAACAATTCTAGAATTCTTGGTTGATTTTGAAAAAGCTGTTCTATTATGACTTCTGGCATGCACAGTCTCCTGAACATTACATTAGAAATAGCCGAACAGTGATGTCTGCTCGAGCGAGCGCAGTGTATATATAGTATTTTCTATGGTTTTTGTGCTCATTATATTTTGACAACAGTGATGTTCGGGCGCATTGTTTTTCTATTTTTGTGGTCATTATATTTTGTGACATATATTTTTTTAAAACTTTTGGGGGGGCTGTAGAAGTTGGTTTTGTTAACAGTGTCATGCTTTGAGCTGCAGCTCTGGGCTAAACCACAGCTTCATTTCCTCTCAATGTAGCCGAGTGGAAAGTTCTGTCAGAGGCATTTTCAGCACCTTTTGAAACCACAACCACCCTCCCTCTTTCACACCAATGACACCATATGCACCTTTTTTTTTCAAAATATTGATCTTGATAAATGTAACAGCACACCACCTATTATTTAGAAGCCCTTGCTTGCGTCTCAAGAACAGCTGTTGTCTTAATCTTCATCATCATCAACTCCTGAGGAATCATAATGAAGACCACTCACATCCTTTTGCTGTGCATCCTTGGAGCTGCTTTGTTGACTGCAGTTAACTGCACTAGTAAGATTACCTTTAATGTCATCATTAAAAGAGAAGTTTTATTTTTTGAGTAAGTGTAATGAAACATCTTTTTCTCAGATGCAAATGGCCCCGACAACTGCTGCTTCAAGTTTTACCCAAGAAGAATTAAACCAATGTTGTATTACATGACTGATCACCGATGCCCAAAGCCTGGCAAAGGTAGATAGCGTTATGTGTTTATTACCTCCATATGTAATACATCTTTTTCTCAGCATGCAAATGCCCCGACAACGCTGCTTCATGTTTTTACCAAGAAGAATTTAAACCAAGCCATTTGTGAGTTCGTATAACATGTGCTGTCATCTGTTTGGTTAAAAATCAACCGAATGAATATGTGGCGCCCAAATGCTGTGATGACCATATGCCGGACACACAAAATTGCATCAGGACTATCAGAAAGATAACGTGAGAAGAAATCTGAGGGTTTCATTTTTTAGCATTCATAGTGCTTCTCTACTGTTCTGAACTATGTCAATCTTGGTCCAACATCAATTAAAGCACAATGAACTCACACTTGGACACAAAGCCTGCCGCCATGTAAGTGAAGAAATCTGGGTTTATTTTTTTTTCATAATGTTTAACACAATAACTGAAATTACTGTAATGAAAAATATCCAGTATGACCATTGTAACTGGACAGTTTTTGGACATTTTCATTTTTTTTTTTCATTTTACACAGGACATCTTCTACATTTACTTTTTATTTGAACTCATATTTGTTCTTTTAGTTTTGTCTCCTAACATTACCCTGTAGCCGTGTTTCTTTGTAGCTATTAGTTATTTTTGCTTTTTTGTTTAAAAAAACAACAACACACAATAACAGCAGCATTTCTGCCTCTTTGTTTCAGCTTTGTTACCAAAAAGGCTCGTTCAGTCTGTATGGATCCGTCTCTCTCCTGGGTCGATAGCATCATGAAAGCACTGGACGAGAGCACTTTTTAAACCAGCTGCCTGCTTTGGGACAAAGGAGATGTATCTTTTTCGTTTCAATATGATTTTACTTGCATTACACTGAGTTAAAAAAATGATGTTTTGTTTCATTATAAAAAATTATTTTTTTGTTTTTTCTTAAAAAAAAGTTCACATTTTAGAAAAATAAAAAATTAAATTTGTTTTATAGTTTCACACATAAAACTTGAGTCACATGTTCCCCTAAAAATATAAATGAAACATTTAGTCTTCAAATCTCCAAAATAAAAAAAAAAAAAAAATATCCGTGAAACCCCAAATCTACAGTCGTTTTTTGTTTTTTCATATTTGTCACGTGCACTTATTTCATTTGACTTACATTTTTCAGCAACCTAACTCATTTAATTTTTATCTTTACTAAGGACACATTGATCTTTATATTTATCTCTTCTATCTCTAATCTTAAGCATTTTTTTTTTAAAAGTAAAAAAGTGCTAAGTAGTGTTCATGGACACATTCATTTTCAATGCTTCAACATGGGGGCCCTCAGTACGGATTTTGGGTTTGTACTATGTGTATCTTTTTTTGTTGATCGCTGTACTTTTACGCCCACGGGGTCACTTTTTATCATGCTCCCAGGATGGAAAACCCTCTCTGGACTGATTCCACTGATTTTCTGAATATTGGATACGTGCCCCTCTTTCAGAGCCATAAACATTACAGGGTGTATAACCCACTTAATAAATAATTAAATAATAATAATATTAATTTTCTTAGCAACATATTCAGTCATGGTTGTAGGTGCACCCAGGAGAGCACGCCATGTCATCACAGAGCCTCGGTTTATGTTAACATAAATGTAGCAATTTCAAATTTGACCTGATGATGGCAGTGGTTTTTCACACCTACACTGCCAAAAGCCAGTTAGTTAGAAGTATGTGTGTGTGTGTTTGCCTTATTTTCACACTTACTGTCAAATTTGGTAGAGAACGACTCTGTTTACCTGCAGCCCTGATCATGTGCCCTCTTTCCTACTTGCTCTCTTGTGTAGTGTGCATTGTCTGTGACACTGATGATGGCAGTGGTTTTTCACACCTACACTGCCAAAAGCCAGTTAGTTAGAAGTATGTGTGTGTGTGTTTGCCTTATTTTCACACTTACTGTCAAATTTGGTAGAGAACGACTCTGTTTACCTGCAGCCCTGATCATAGGCTCTGAAAATGGATTTGTATGAACTCTCAGTCATTCCAATATTTTTCTCCGCTCCACTAAAACAAGATGCAAGTCTGCACTATAATCACATCTTGGCAAACATCTGGACAAAAAGGAACGAGGATGAAAAGATAATGTACTGTGAAAAAGCCGTAAGCCAGCCTAAAAGTCTTTATTCCCTTATGTCCTAGGACTCAAAGTTTTAGTCTAGCCTTTGACCTTTGTGAGGAGTTGTGCTTTCTGAGTGCTCTTGTTATTTTTAAAGTGCTGTTGACCTACAGATCTCCAGGCTTTCTGAAGGTCTTTCAGAATTTATCTTTGGCTGCTTTTTCACTTACTTCAGTCCAGTCCTTGTGCCTGAGCATTTTCTTGTTTGTTAAATCACCTAACACTGACCTCTGTATCATTTAACTCATTCACTGCCATTGACGTCTATAGACGTCAATTACGTTTTTCAATGGGAGGGGCTAGAATACAACCTTGGGCAGCTTGTCAGTGAATATCAGACTTGCATTCATGGTATGTAATGACAAAATCGACCTGCAAGTGGCAGTAGAGTTTCAAAAATGAGAAGTGGGTCAGATCATTTCA